GGATAACATTTAATCTTTGCGGTGCGATAGGACATCAAAGGGTCCGAAAACTCTGCTCCAGTTTGTCAAACATCATGTTCTTAGGGTTGTGAGTACAATATACGTTCCCAGGTAAACCGAAAAAGTCTATTTAAACAAAAGATTGCGTTCGGACATCTTCTAATGCATTCCCATCCTTATCAGTTTGCAGCAGATGAAGATTTTTCGGAAACTCCTCCTACTACAACGTGTACAATTTGTCGAGGACTATGCCAAATTCGTGGGGGTACCTAAGTTTTTGGATGACTGATCCTCTACCTTTGCATATATACATACTCCCTCGTCTTCTGAACCCTTCTTTTAAAAGNAACATCATGTTCTTAGGGTTGTGAGTACAACATGCGTTCCCAGATGAACCGAAAAAGTCTATGTAAACAAAAGATTGCGTTCGGACATCTTCTAATGCATTCCCATCCTTATCAGTTTGCAGCAGATGAAGATTTTTCGGAAACTCCTCCTACTACAACGTGTACAATTTGTCGAGGACTATGCCAAATTCGTGGGGGTACCTAAGTTTTTGGATGACTGATCCTCTACCTTTGCATATATACATACTCCCTCGCCTTCTGAACCCTTCTTTTAAAAGAAATATTTATATATTGATATCGTTATCAACAACAATTTCACACGAAGGGGGGCGGGGGGCGGCAAACGGGAAAGTACCGGAAAACTCAAGAAATTGTCAAGTGGAGCCAGGTGTCAATGTTTGAAGAAGAGGAGCCCCCTCTATGATTTCTACAGCAAACTAAAGCAGCGAATTAGTTAACCCTTTCACCCCTCGCGGCAGTGTACTGAGAAGTTCGGGTGTACTAATTGATTAATTAATCGATCCTCGAATTTAGCCGTGATCTGCGGAATTAATCTGCGAATCAAACCGCGACCTGCGAATTAATTAACCCCTTTCACTCACCCCCTCGCGGGGTGGATTGACTAGGTCACCGAGAAGGTCCTTTGTAACGCAAAATCGCGAATTAAATTGATTCAACCAGCGAATTAAATGACCCTTTCATCACTTTGAGGGAAAAAATCGTGAATGTATTAATCAAACCGCGACCCCGCGAATTAATTAACCCTTTCATCACTTCGAGGGGGAAAAATCGTGAATTAATTAATCAAGTCGCGAATTAAACCGCGACCCCGCGAGTCAGACCGCGAATTGACCCGTGACCCCGTGAATTAATCAACCTTTCCATCCACCCAGCCCCCTCGCGGGGGCCCTTTGGCACAGGTCTCCGCTAAAACGTTGCCCCAGAACCGGCATTACATAACTACTGACCCGTCCTATAAGATGTCCTACCCTATACAGTGAATTGGGAAAAATGAGTTGTAAAAAGTTTTCCGTAGAAAATGTTCCAATCATTCTGCCAGAGTTCCTATGGCATTAATTCCTAGAAATTGTCCGCACCTGCTTTTTTGTAGAGCTAAATGAAAGCTACGCATAAAAATTTCAATACGTCTCTTCAATTAAGGAGCCATTCAGCAAAAACTGAGATTCTCTCCAGTGAAATTGATTTTAATCAACTTTTATTTGTAGAAAATCACTCTGCACTTCGTGGTGATGAGTTTCGATAGATATTCTCGGGATGATATGATCGGAGAGGTCGTCTGCGCCTTGTCATCAGTTCAGGGCCTTGAAGATGCGGATAATCAGCAGTTGTCTCTCTGTCGGGAAATTTGCCCACGTATACTGAAGGTAAATTACTGCATCATCTCTCTTCATTCTATTTAATGGATAACAAGTGTATGTCAATGATGTACATTTTAGATTCAATCACAAGGCAGAGGAGAACTGCTCGTCTCTCTTTGCTGGCAGCCAGCGGTGAATCGTTTGACTGTTGTGGTACTTAAAGCTAGAAACCTCCCGAAGATGGACGTCACTGGGCTTGCTGATCCTTATGTGAAGATTTATCTCCTTTACAACTCACAACGTATTGCTAAGAAGAAGACTCACATCAAGAAACGAACGCTTAGTCCAGTGTTCAATGAGTCTTTCGTTTTCGAGATACCGAATGGTACAGATGGACTGGTGAATGTTAGTCTTGAGTTTATGCTGTTGGATTGGGATCGTGTTACAAAGAATGAGGTAAAATCAATAATGAATATATGGCCTAGAGGAACTGAAGATCTCAATAATATAGAATTTCAAAACGACTATTTGGTATATGAAATGGTGATACTTAGATTCGACTGTTATGAGGATTGTGTGAGGGTGAAATAAGGATCAAACAAAACTGCATGACTGTGGAAATACTCAAGCTATAGAAATAGACGCTATTTTATAGGAGAAATCGATAGAATTTAATCGTTCTATACAATTTACTCGATTGATATATTTTCTATAGAAATTCTTCGACATAACTTTTCCAAATTTTTTACTCCATTCTCTTTTCTCTTCTCGAAACAGTTGGAAAATTTAGGCTGACTATTCCTTTATAGAAAATATCTCAATATAATAGATTTCATAAAAAAATTAAATTCTATAAAATGCTTTCTATTGGATTTCAATGTTGCACTTCTACTGGAATGTGAATGTAGTAATTGAGTGGTAATGAACCACCCCAGTCTACTTGTAGAAAATTAATCCCTTATATACGGCGTCAATGCATCTAATTCAAGGAGGATTGAATGTAGGAGCAGGTGAGGAAAAAGGGGCTTTTTTTTTACTTTTTTTATTCGATATTTATAAGTCAAAGACAAATCTCTCAATTGAGCCCCATCTAAAAGCTCATCACAGAGAAGTATCGTACTTTCCACGAAAAAAAAAATATTCTCGTTTCATTACCAATTCAATACCTCGTTCAAGCGCCAGCTGAAATGCTGGTTACGGGAATGTGAAGCTCAACGTTGATAATTGTCTATTACCTCTGTTGTTCTTGTACTCACTTCTCTGATGTTTCTCAACTTTTGCTTATCTCCAGATATTATTTTCCACTGCTCCTGCTTAAACTCATTTCTTTTATAATCTCTATTGTACTTTGTTTAATTTTCTAAACAATAAACTCCATATCTTATTTTATCTTATCAATACATTATTAACATTATTACACTATTAATATATAAAAGTCCCAAGTGTCCATTTTGCCGGACTCACGAAGAACAAATATGTTTACAAATTGAATACGATTCTCATAATACTGATTTTTCATGACCGTATTCATATCAAATCGATATCGTATATCTCTTTAGAATATCTAATTGTAAATCGACTATCGGCGAAATGGTATCATTTTTATTCGACGCTTTTATACCCACATAAGAGTCGAACAAATATTCAAATAAAACAGGTGGAGGGAACTATCACGTCAGGATAAGATTTTATGATGATCATACCCTTATGGAAAGAACATATATCCGGACATACATCTCAGTATATTTCACTTATATTTCGGCCAAAAATGTCATATGCCAAATACATCCTACTATCCGTTTCAGAAGTAGAGGACCCTGGGGTTATATGCACATAACTTGAGAAAAAAATCGTAAAAATATGGGACCATTGCACTGTATAATATAAATATTTCACTTGTCCAATACGAAATTTCAAGTTTTTAATTTGATTAGTTTATTTATAGTCGCTGTGAGAAGCCGAAAAACCCCCCGATTTTCAGAGTCCGTAAAAGTCGGCAAACTTTGAATCGCTACCATACGTACGAAAATTTTTTTTTTTAAATCACCAGGAACGACTTGAGAAGCTCTTAAGGGGAGACGGAACCCCTTTGTCTACATCAAATCTTAGAATTGTGTTTTCTCCTACAATTATTAATTTCTATCTATGAAATTACTTTATCGACTCGATTATCGCATTATTGAGTCAATGAACTAATTTAATGAATAAAAAATAATTACAGGAGAAAACACAATTCTAAAGATTCATATAAACGCAGGGGTTCCGTGTTTCCCCTTAAGAGACAATTTTTGATTTAAAAAAACAATTGAAGTATCCAAAAAATGATTTTATTGACGACCAGGTCACAACTTTTTTTATTCCAATCATATTTTACATTTCTTCCAATGAATTTCAATCATAGATTGAATTAAAAGGCATTTGATACCGTGTCTATTTAACAGGGCAGGGCGAACAGAGGGTGAAAGCCTTCATAAAATAAAAAAATCTTCATTTCTCGTTCTCTCGATATTGAAATTGCTAATAATATTTCTAGGTCATTGGACGGCTTGAGCTCGGAGGCACCAAATGTCAGGGTTCAGCACTCACTCACTGGAATGAGGTTTGCAGTTCACCACGACGACAGATCGCTGATTGGCACAAACTGCGAGAGTAACCCCATATCTCAACCAACAAAATCCCAAACTCCCAACTTCCTCATCAGGATCCTCCACACACTCATTGAAGAATGATAAACACTGGATAAACCAATTTACATTACATCCCTTCGATTACGAACAATGAGGACCATCCCAAAGGAGGAAATTATCAGTTTTATAAAGGAAACAAAAAAAGAAGTGCATACAAAATTCTGATTGGTGGGCCGATTGAGGAAAAGAAGAAAACTATCACTTTAAATTGGTGCGGCCTCATACTTTCATTGATTAATTGTCTCGGGCAATCAGTATAAAAATTCGAATGCTCTGAAATTTGATGATATAAACGTATATTATATAAATGTAAACGGTAATCCTGACCAGGCAGGGGAGATGGAAAATTTTATTGAGCATCGTGTTGTGTAACAGGAGTAGGTGATGATGACACTCTGATATTGAACGGCATTTATTTGCATTGATTACGTCTTCTTTGCCAATTAAAATTTTATTTTTCTTTTGATAAAATGAGAAGAAAATGATAAATTGGCATGAGATCGAGAGCTTCAGCGGTCTATGAGGCGATTGTAAATATGTAATTGATGGGTAACAAAATTGTGAGGAGATATGTCATTAATTTATGCATTCAAACACACATCAATGTACCTTAATTTTCATTTGCATTTAGTGCAATTGATTGAGTTGCTCTTTTAGAGTCGATAGAAATCACAATGAATCTCGAAGATATCAATTATAAAAAATTATTTGTTTATTAGTGGATAGTTTTTTTCATAACGAAGCGATAAGCAATTATGCAACGATACTTCATTCAGCAGAAATTTAGATGAATTTCTTGATGGTATAAATAACCCATTTTGTCTGAGTTATTAGTGAATCAATGATTTATTCAATTTATTCAATCCATCAACTATAAATTGTTTGCATCAGTTGGATAACACACATTGCATTGAAAGTAACTGAAACGTCGAAACAAAACATATATCATGAAGACTTACGGGATATATCGAATAGGAACAGAATATTGAAACAAAAAAAAAACTTTATCATTAGATGACTCAAAGAGAACAGCATTGCAATTCGTGTGTCTCGATATTTATTTAATTAATTGCTATACAAAAATCATAATGATAATAAAAGATGGAAAAAAGAAATGACTATAATTAAGTAGTTGGTAGTTTAAATTAATATGCTTTGTCCCTTGTTTCTATTGGACTGATACATCCGATCTTATTGAATTATTATTTTTGATTGATAATCCTTTCAGTCTTTCTCAAATCGGTCTAACGTGTTCAATGAAAACAAGAGATTTGCTGTGTAACATATGGACTCTTGATAAAAAAAATATTATCACCATCAGAGAAGTTTATTATCTATTTTTAGAATTCTGTCAATGTTTAGTAAAATCCGTTAATTTAATTTATAGATTTTTTTCTCTGTACTTATTCTGTTAGAGAGAAAATTCTACGTTGATTTTTTATATGAACTTAGTTTAATCAGTATTATTCCCTGATTTTAGTGAAGACGGTATCATTTTTACATTCGAACAAGTGGACAACACAGTTCATGATTTACGACATGATGTATGTCAGATTTTCAGACTGTGCAGTCAATAAAATGTTTAAAAATTAATCACTGTTGACATTTCTTTATAAATTTTTCATTCAATGCTCAAAAGGTATCGTCGCCACCAGGAACGAATGGTCTTGGATCTGAGTGGTGGGGGGGACGTCAAGTCGGAGCTAATTTCGAGAGAGTGAGGGTACTCAGCAGTACTCAGTCACGACCATTATTTTGTGGCGAGGACTATAATTTGTTGGAATGAGATGAGGTAATTCAAATCAGACTCCAGGGAGCGATTTTGCTCGTTTTGTGTCGACATAAAATCATAAATTTCAACCAATCCTAGTTGAGTATTCCGAATCCAGGACTGTCATTGGTAGAAATTTGCGATTTTATGTCGACGTAAAACGAGCAAAATCTCTCCTCTGTTGTGGCGCAAATCTTGCGAAATTGGAGGGAAATTGTGAAAATTTTGAGGAAATCTCTGTTATTGCTTTTATTTCGATATAAAAAAGTCAATGAAAATATCCTCTTGACGATATTTATTGAAAAACTGCATGCTTAAGTCAAACAAATTTATCGCATGTCCTGCTTCGCTACAGAATTTGCAAATATTTTTGAAACTGTAGGAAGATCTGACGTTATTTTCTGCGTGCACAGTAAAAATGTATGGACAACCCTATTGAAAATTCTATTAGTTTTTGGGCGAACATATTGAAAATCGTCACAGCTTTCCTGCGATTTTTTTCTATGGAAAATATTCAATAGAAAATATAGTGAAAGAAAATTAGCAAAATTTGATTTTGCTCTGCAATATATTAGATTAGGACATTTTCTATAGAATTTTCTCGATATGAATTTTCCGATTTTTTTTTACTAATTTTTTTCCTTTCATGGAAAAAATCACATAGCATTACTTGAATAATTTTGGCTGACGAAAATATGGCAATAAAAAACCTCCAGAAAAAGAAATTCTATTAATTTTTTAAAAAAGTACTATTGAATATTTCCGATTTTCTCAATAGAATCAGCAATCGAATTTTCTAGTCGCTTACAGTTCTAGAGACACCTGCAAACATTTTTAGAAAACCTGTTCTTTGAAAAATAGTTTCCATGTTCTGTGAATTACATAGACATCCTATGGCATCAGTTATTAATTTATACTTCACGCTATCATTTCATTGATAGCCGCCGAGAATCTGACCACATGGTCAGAAAAAAAATGACGATTGACCATAAGCATGAAATGACCGAATTAATTTTGACTGTTAATTTCCATCTATATAGATGACCCTTAATTTTCGAGTGCTCCTCCAGTGATTTCTACAATTCTGCATTTTCAGTACACTTTTCAGAAATTTGTATCATATTTACACGGATAAAAAAATTTAATAGAAAAACCTGGTGAATTCGTTAAAAAATTCTATTGGATTTCTATTGAACTTTCTATTAGCTTTTAGCCGAATCTATTGAAATGGTCAATAGAAAAAATTCAATAGAAGAAGTCAATAGAATTCGATTTTTCTGTATAACCTATTCTATTGGGAGATTTTCTGTAGAATTTCCTGGGTTAAAATTTTCTTAGTTTTTTTGTGTGATTTTCTTGATGAGAAGAAAAGACAAATAGAATGAAAAGAATTTAGAAAATTTGAGCCGAGGAAATTCTATAGAAAATATCTGAAGAAAATAAGTTCCATAGAAAAATCGAATTCTATTGGCTATTGAATATTTTCTATTGAAAATTTCAATAGAATCGGCAAAAAACTAATAGAAAGTTCAATATAAATCTAATAAAATTTCGTAACGAATTCGCAAAGTTTTTCTATTAAATTTTTTCGCGAAATATAAGTTTTACTGAAATATCAAGGAATTTCGTCATTGAAAATTCAGAATTTCGGGGAGAAATCAATGAGAACCGTAAATTATAGTTCAATTATTCCTTGCTAAAAATTAATAGGAACCCGAAAAATTCTGATAAACATATTCTTGAATTTTCAATTATTTGAATATTCAGATAATCTGGTATCTTGGCAATGAATATTCATGTTTCATTAAAAATTCAAATAAATTGACAAATTCTCGTCTTTATGCTTCTAAAAAATTTTGGTATTTTATTGAATGTTCAGTGAAATCTGAAATTTCATGATTTTCTTTTCCCGTAAATTGCATTCAGTGACACTGTCCTCAAAAATTACTAGTCAACTGTCCATGAGATTTCATTTTTTTCTAACAGTGTATCATTGAGAACGGGGCCATTGATAATAATTAATAAGTAAAATAATTTATGTCGCGCCGTGCAATAAGTCGACTTCTGCACGACTTGACATAAAATATTATGGAGCACCCGGTAATAAATTTCGTTTTCAACGAATGTGTGTACAGACAATCGAATCGTAAACTACACATTCGTTGAAAACGAAATTTGTGCCCTTGTACTCTAATGTACTAAAATGATAATAATCCAATTTTATTAAAAAGCTGTCCGATCGAACCCTTCAAAAATTACCTAAAAATGACAGTTAATTTGCAACTATATAGGCTATTTTTGGTCATTTCGGCTTGTGTCTGACGCAGCTTAATTGTGACAGTCAATTTGCATGCAAAATTCGGTCAGGCTCAGAAAACGGTCAGAAACCGGTCATTTACATCTGACCTAACCGAAAGGGAAAACGACGGTCATTCCACATCTCCAGTCAGAACTGAAAAATGTAGATTCGCCCTAATGAGGGGTGCACAAAATGGCCCAGTTGGGGAGGAATATTCTTAGCAAAGAAAACGGTTCCAATAATTCGTGGTTTTTGTGAATTTCTCTCAGTCATCTTATTGCATCATTTTACTGTAGGATTATTAACATTTCATTATTAGAAAGGGGAAGTGATGATTGTTGATTGAATTTAAACCACTTTGAGACGCCCCATATTTTATGCGCTTTATGACTCATAAGGTATATAATTTTTTAAAAGTTATTAATTTAAAGTATCTTAAATTAAATTCAAGAACACATGGTAAGGCATTTTATATCAAACCCTACCAGTGTTTAGGATTACCCAGGATTCAAGGCGGGCACGAAGCTGCCATGGAACCCTAAAAGCTAAAAAATCATAAACATTATTTGACAAAGTCACATACTTTCAATTTGACCGGGATGGTCGTTTGATAAAACTCTATTCACGTAGAAAAATACTTTTTATTCAACCTTTCTGGATCAATATAATAACATCAAAAGTATCAAGTCATAAAAAATACAGCGAGTGGGAATGGAACAATCATCTCAATAACCATTGAGTTCTGACTGTCGGTTGACTTGAATCAATGATTAGTTGGCAATAACAATAATACATAAAAATTGAATGTTTCAACAGGAACAATTCGTTGAGATGTAGCAGTATTAGTATAAACATTTTGGGCTTCTCTGGAATTCCAAAAGAACTTGAATTATCTTATTCAACACTATTCGAGACAATAAAAGGACATGAAAAATTCAGATTCATTATTCAATAGATATAGTGTTAATAATAATTGAATGATCACAATTGAACCATCGAGTGAGTTTAAAGTCTAAATGTGTTTATCAGACTTTTCATAAATTTTCATGTCGAATATACGAAGAAAATTAAATGACAAGGCAAGTATAGAGAATAATTGGTAATGGGAGATTGTCAACTTGATCAGTGCGAGCTTCAATAAACGACACTGCAATTATCGATAATGTGCTTCTGATGAGAATGAAGTAATTAGGAATGAATCCCAATATAGCTAATCCACAAACAAACGTCAATTGACTGAGTATACAGGCGACTGTTCCCTCCACCGATTTATTAGAACCCGGCCACTTCGTTTTACCCCATTTTGTGCCAACAATACTCGCAGCTGAATCACCAATTCCAATAGTTAAAACACCACTCAGAAGTGGTAAAATCTCGAGATTGCTTGTCGGCATCCACAATGGAAATGATAATCCACTCAACAAGTACAAGGGCGTCAATGAAATCAAGTGGTCCTTTTTATCTGCGAATACGGAGAATCCTGATTGGAGTATATCACCCAATGGTGGCAATTTCAATAGTCTCATAAGCTGAAATAACAAAATCGTAATATTTTAATTTTACTGAAGTCATGAAACGAAATTAGTCGATTTTATTGGGGTCAATTTTTTGGAATTCTTCGAATGATTTGTTTGTCAAAGAAATTAGCACTAAATTAAAGGGAGATGTCGAAATTTCCAGAACAATTTGAGAAATCTTCGAGTAAATAGAGATTTGGGAGTTGTCGGCAATTATTGGTATGATTCTGTACCTTCAAAATTTTGATTTTGTTGAGGTTCCTCATGTGGTTTTCTTATTATTGATTTTTTTTCCAATTTTTTCAAATTTTGTTACGCGGACTACGTTAATTTGTTAGTATCTTCAGTTTTTCATATTTTTTGTTTCAACAGAGGTAATTTTTTTTGTAGTTCTCAATGTGTATTTCTGACAGATATTTTCCGTTCTGTTGAAAATTGCAAAAAATAGATAAAATTGCTCATTACACCCCCTTTCCCCATCTCGATTACTGTTATTATTAAAGAATCAGAGTCGGTTCGCACGTTTTTCCACTCAAAAATTTTTTTCTTTAATTTTAAATTTGAAAATTTTTTCAATTTCTTCATTTTTTATTTAAAAATATGAATTTGAATTCACTAAAAGTATTACATTTTCAAGTGAAAAAAATATCTCCCAAAAGTACTCTCACATCAAAGCTATGCTACTTCCTTTACTTGAAAATAGTGAAGGGTGGAGTAAAATGACCCTTTTGAATTTTTGATATCTCATAGATAAAAAGACTGTTACTCTGCCATTTCCCTTTTTTCGTTCTCCATTTCCATTTTTTAGTTTTTCTAAAAAAAAATTGGTCTGGAAATCTCCGTTTTGATCACGAAGTAACTGGTGAGAAGAATTAGTTAAAAAGTCAGGGGTGTATTCTATACCCCAGATGATTGAGGAAGAGATAAATCGGTTCCATTTCGAACCATAAATGATGACCTCCAACGTGGAATAAATTGACTCTAATTTCGCTCCCTCGATCTCGAGTGACTAGATAAAAGTATGCTTTTCACTATTCATAATAATTTCAAGTACTGAAAGGATGATCGAATATTCAGATAAACCACTAATAACCCCCCCCCCCCAATTAACTCATCCTTTAACGACATTCCATATTCTATTGGACTCAATTGTTCATCATTAAAATCTTTCAAGTTTGATATTTGTTTCCTGAGTTATTGGATGATATTGTCTGTGTTTGTTGTTCGTTAATTGCTCCCCCGAGGACCCTAACGAAGTTACAGTTTCTAAAATTTTTGGCACCAACGACCCCAAAGGTCTCAAAGCAATATTTTATTTCTCAAGAAATTGTTTGACTCTGATGGAACAACTAATTTAAACACTTTAAACGTATGAATTTTGCGCAGGCTTAAGGCTTTTAACGCTTTGAATATTTGTAGATTGTAAAACCTTGATATTTTTTGCCTTTATCTGTTATTTTACTCTGTAACCATTTTATCATGTTACGTACGCCAAATCTAAATCTACTTGTATCCCCCCTTGCTACAGCAGTGACAAAGTTCTCCTGATAGGTAAGTAATGAATGAATTAATAACAGTATATTATGTATATTTATATAAGAACATTTCTGACCGATTTTTAAGAGAATAAATGTTCAACAGTTCATTATATTGTGGACAGATTGAGTATCCATCCAAATTCTACTTATATCATTCTTCTATTCAATCTGCTCAAGATACTTTCGATCATACACAAGGGAGGAATTACCGCTCCTATGATGATGTGCAATTGATCGACTGAATTCGCTATTTAAAATTTTTCTGTTACCACAGTAAAGTTAGTCTCCCTATTTCCTATCCATTGGTCTCTGTAAATTGAGGCCAAGGATTAATGAATCACTCTCTTAATCGAATTACCTCCATCATCATAAATACACCCATTATGACTCCGCTCGCCAAATAAAGTAACGTCGGCTCCCACAGCAATCCAGGAATGTAAACAAGTACAGCTAATAAATGAAAGCCTTTTCTCCTGACAGTGCTCGCCTGTGAATCGGATTGTATCTGATACGATAGAAGACCAGCCCCTAAAATCAGACAGACTGTCCAATAAACTATAATCAAAACCTGCAAAACAAGAAAGAAAAAACACATAAACAAGTAATTCCCCAACACAAACAAATGCAGTTATACCTAGCCATACCTACCCTACTCAAACTCCCAAAAATATACGAAATCATCCACACGAGAGGACTTCGGTCCAATAATATATGCAATACTGGAACAAGCCCGAGAATCAATAATCCAAACGTTGTCATGTAAAATAAATTTTTCTGTCGAATTTTCGGAAATAGTCCAGGGAGAATACAACAGACTCCAATGAAGATGATCCCCACCTGAATAAACAATAAAATTAAAAATAGAAAATGGTTGAATCGATCAATGAATAAACAATCAAGCCGTAGCTCCGACGACAATAAAATATTCATCAATTCCCTTATCGACTTCTACTCCTGATCCTAAGCAATTAGAAACGTCCATTCCTGTTATTATATTATCTATCCCCTCACCTGGAGAATTGTTGTCGCAATATCATCGTCATGCAGAGGAGGTAAATGATACCTGAGTGGTAGATTAGATCCAGCCGATAATAGAAACAAAATAATCCCATGTGTAACAGTGACGGCTTCACCCAGTGTAAAACACCTCGAGAAATACGACATCAACTGTAGAACCCCCCAAGTCCCCAAAGAGCCAGTCCCCAGGCCCCAGAAAACACTTGTCAGCAGCCCTACACTTGAGTAAGTTGACTATAGTCATTGTAAGCTATTAAAAACTGTTTTCACATTATCTCAAAAACATATCAAATATTGAACCAAAATCAACATACCTTTATTTGCCCCGAGTAAATACAACATTGACGTAATACTCGCTGGTAAAAAGTAGATTATTTGAAAATCTCTACTCGGTGATTTATCAATAATCAATTGTACAAAGAGACAGGCTGTGCTTATTATTAATCCAACTCCAGTCAATCCAACGAGTAGACATATTTCTGAATAACTGTTGTCTTCCCTGAGTATTGTTGCCATTGCACTAAGACCCATCAAAGGCCCTAGCCACAATCCTCCAGTTGCTTTTGCTCTTAAAAATTAAGATAAAACAGCTTTCATTCATTTGAAAAATGATGGAATTACTGTGTTAAGACTCATTTCAGGTCCTAACACTTGCTTTTGACCTTCGAAAATGTCGAAAAATATTGATGCGAAAATAATTGAAAATCGCCTATAATACTTGTGTTGTTGAATCTAGTAATTAAAGAAGCAGATATTATTGCACTCAGCTTTGATGTCAGAAATTGAGAAAAAAAAAGTTTATGGATTGAGAACTAATTCTAAATCATTCATAACATCTGCGATGCTGCCAGGACCACATGCCACATGCAATTACTCTATTTCTTATTGGATCCTGTCATCCCAAAAAAGTTAGTGATTACATAAGACCTACAGAGTCCCTAGCCCTTGCACTTGGTCTGAAAATTATGGAAAATCAATTTTTCATTGATAGAAAAATACTAAAAAATAATCAAATCAGACCCGGAAAGTTCGAGCGTCTCAGGCAATTGACATGTGTTGTTCAGTTGCCTGTTAGAAAAATTGAAATGATTGCATCAGGACCCATTACTGATCCTAGCACTTGCTTTCGATCTTAAAAATGATGGGAAAACAATCTTACATGGAAGGAAAAATATTTGAAAATAGTCCAAATAATCTGTGACGTTTTGTAAGCATCACAGGCAATTTTTACATGCGTCCTTGAACCTTCTAGTTCTAGTGATAAAAAACAGAAAAATAATTGTCTTCGGACAATTATTTTTCTTTTGATCTGTTAAGAATATCCAAGTACTTTGGCCATTTTTTCTCCAGTCAAATGCTTGTCTACTACTTGTCTATAGTTTAACATCAGAGCTTTCATTTGAGCCCCATTTGACCCTAAGTTTCCGGACATTTTACAATGATTTTATTATTTAAACTTTGCAGATCTCAGTTTGAATCTCGATATTGAACCATTAGAAAACCTTTTAAAAATCTGGAAAAAAATAGAAACTTTACTTTTGGAGGAAGATTGATGAAATAATTGAAAAATTGCAATTTTAAGAATTGGAAGAACTTTTCATAAATAATTTATAAATAATCAATTTTCCACCATAAAAATCATTTGTTCAGAATTGTCAAATTTATTTATATTCAGAATTTTACCAGAAATTGATTTCATCCTTAGAAAAATAAGGTTTTCGAAAGTTGAAACAATTTCAATTATTTATTCATAAACAATGAAGGTATGAAACATTCCTACATGTGCAGTTCAGTCTAGTTTTAGAAACAATAACGAAAATTACATCCAAAAGGAAACAATACAGGTCCCAGTACTTGCATTTGGTCTCGAAAATTGTGGGAAAACAATCTTTCATTCATGGAAAAATAATTGAAAATCGTCAACAACACCTGTGATACCAGAACCGTCACGGGTGATTGCTGCGTGCGTTGTTCAGTCTCTAGTAGTAAAAATAACATCGACAGTTGTAAGAAAAAAAAGTAACGAAAAGAGAATTAATTCAGAGGTTAGGTTGAAATGTTCACTTTATCTCTCATAAGTGAAGCATATTCACTCACCGATGTGATATTCCTCCAGCCTCCAAATTTTTCAATATTCTCTTTTCAACATTTTTGTAGCCCATGGTAATCACCTTCATTGTCTCTGTTTTCTGAATGAAATAATAATAAAGAAGAAAAAAAAACCGTCTCCGAGACTCAACACTGACAGACACCCTACTCACTCTCAACTCCGACTGACACTAATTCCCCCCACCACTGAGTCATTCATATGTATATAATACACATGGGCTGCTGTAATACAATAAGAGATAGGTATATACACACATCGATCAGGCGTTTCATATTGCATGATACGTCAATTATTCATTTACGTATTTAACTCTCCCCCCCCCCCCC